TCCCCCCTAAACCTTCCCTAAACCTTTTTTTTTTTTTTTGCTATAGGGTACATGTGTGCGCCAAAAAGGCAGAGAAAGACAGAGAGACAGAAAGTGAGAAATCACCCCCTGTGATGGCCACACTGCAATCCCTTCTCCATTCTCTTCTCTGGATCTTGGGCATGCATGCACACGTGCCCGATGTGAGTTTAAGCCATCAGGTCTGGGACTTGAATCGCTGTTGACTACATGGGAGTCCAGTGACATAGCCATTATGCCAACTGCTGGTCCCCACCCTAAACCTACTTTTAAAGAAAAAATTACTTACTTTATTTTACTTATTATTATTACTTAACTTGCTATAGTCATCAGAGAGAGAGAGAGAACGAGAGAGAGAGAAAGCAAGCTGCCAGGTTTGGGACTTGAAGTGCAGTTAGCCATGTGGGAGTCTAGCGCCCCAAACACCACGCCACCTCCTGGCCCCTGTACCTACTTTTTTAAAAAAGAAAAGGCTCGGGGCTGCCAGATGGCATGTGGTTAAGGGCCAGGGGTAAGGGGTTAGGGAAAAGAATACAACCCCCAGGGGAGATGGCCATGCTGCAACATGGCCGACCATGGTTTGAGTCCTGAACCTGGCGGCTTGCTTTCTTGCTTTCCCTTTTCTCTCTCTCTGTCTCTTTCTGCCCAAATTGAACATGATAATGACAAATAGTTAAATAAATAATAAATAAAAAATAAAAGGCTTGAGGCCAGCCGGTGATGTGGTGGTTAAGGTGCTGGACTCCCACATCTTCAATCATGGTTCGAGTCCAGAACCTGTGGCTTTCTCACTTTTTCTTTCTCTCTCTTTCTGTCTATCTCTGGTGAGCGCTCATGCCCTGTAGCAACATTAAAAAAATAATAATGATGATAAATAAAATTAAATAAATAATTTTTAGAAAGAAGACTGTGGGGACCAGTAGTTAGCGTAATGGCTATGTTGCTGAACTCCCACGTAGTTGACTGCGGGTTGTGTCCCAGACCCGGTAGCTTAAAACTCACGCCGGGTGCATGTGCGTGCGTGCCCAGGATCCCGAGAGGAGAATGGAGGAGAAAGGATTGCGGCGTGACCATCCCCCTGGGGGGTGATTTCTCACTTTCTGTCTCTCTGTCTCTGTCTGGCGAGCGCACGCACCCTATAACAAAAATCTCTCCAAAAACAAAAAGAAGACTGCGTGGTCTCCATCACATGGGAAGATTATTCATTTCACTAGTTTCTTGCTGAGGGACTGAGGTTGTTTCTGATATTTTGCTATTATAAACAAGTGCTATACTGAATAACCTTTC